ATCTCAGCTCAAAATGTGTCTTCAGCTGAAGTGGACATATAAATCTCTCCAGTTTGAGGGCCAGGGCTGACCTGTACTGTTGGCCCCCATGAGCCTTTGTTTGACAGACGCTTCTGCTTCTCCTTTCATCCTCCCTTGAGATAAATCCCTTGATGGACCTTCTCAGCTCTGGTTGAAAGTGCAGTGCAGCCATCATACATCACAGTGGAGCTGGTCCGTTTGATGTGGGGCTGCTGTGGCCCAAGGGTGGGCTGGAGATGGACTTCCTCACAGTTCCTCCTTGAAACTTGCTCATCAATCCTGCGATCTGACCACAGATCTCCCTCTGCCCTGCCACCTCTGCCCTCTTGACCACAGAGAAGCAACAACAAGAACGCTCAGCGTCAGACTGTGTGACGTTAGGGCAGAAGCAGCTATCCGTCACTCCGATTAGGCTCCTGAAAGTATATAAATCATCACTTAAATTGGTATCTGATTAAAAACAACTTATATATATTTCTCACAATACTGGCTGATATCATGTGGCTCCTAATGTTCTTAGTCACTCCCAAAACAAATGTATTTATAAAAATAAACTTTAGTCACATCACATGAGTCACATTTTACTCCCTGAACCCAACTAAAAAGAACAGACATACTGATAGTCCTGATAAATCACTTTCACTTTCAGTTCTGTCATGACAACTATCGGAGGGATTGGCATGGTAATGTACATGACAATGTTAATGTATTTGGTCTTGGCGGAAAAGATCTGCTATACGCTGCTGCTGCGGCAGAGCAAGTACCAAGACTTGCTACTGCCAATACATTCACAACATGCTGCTGTGAGCATGTAAGAAATATTGCTGCTGCAAATATAACATACATGAAATAACCCCCCATATAGCATGCATGAATCACCTCGTAGCAGATCTATACAGGTGGAGCTGGGGAAGGTGAAGGGTTTCTGAAGCAAGCTGCAACCTACGGCAAGCACTAGTCATATATTTGAATGTTGAGCAGTGAGCTCATTGGCTACGGATACATGAGAGGACCAATCAGCTGTGCCATGTGACAATGATGTCATTAGGTCAGATTGAGTTAGACCTATCGGACTGCGCCATCTAGAGTTTCATGCCAGAACTCTGTATTTCCACAAGATTTCAGATATATTCCAGCTTCAACCATCTCCTGTCAGAAAACCATCAGCAATATTTTTTGTTATTTTTCCTCCAATCAGGGTGAAGCAGTTGCCACACCGTGTGCATCATGACACACAATGAGGTGCCAAAATCACTTGAGGGGGAGGAAACCCCACACAAACACAGGAAGTGCTGCATTTCACACACAGGGACAGAGAGTCTGAGGTCTGTGCTCTGCTCCACTGATTTAGGAATAAGATTAACCTGGCAGAGAGTTACATTATTGTTGCTTGTGACAGCGTAGCCTCAAAAACCGCTGTAAAAAGTTGTGTTATTTTGATGCATTATGAGACTGAGGAAGTAATAAAACAGCACAGAATGTGCAACCAACTGAGGATCTGTCAAATTAGGAGTGGAAAGTGAAAGTGGGTCTTGTTTATTGATGTTTAATTTTGATGCTTGACTTTGTCTATCCAACACAATGGTCTTTCCAACTTTTTTGTCCCCTGAAAACTATGGCTGATATGCAAATATTCTGGCCAGAAAGAGAGAGAGAAATAAGAAAATCATTACTAAACAGCTTCCGTAGTGAAGGAGTTGTTTACGTATTTCCTCGCTTGAGTATCTGTCATTACCATAACGTGGTTAACTCAGCATGTTAGAATAATGTCATTGACCTGAGTGCTTCTGACCTCGGAAGGTTATCAGTGGGGAAGAATTCTGACCAGATGACAGAGCAAAGGGACCACCCACTGTTACTGGAGCATGGATGTTGTAGTCCACATTTACAAGAATCTCCTTCATTTAGTTGGCCAAATCAGTGGAAAATTATATAAGCAATATAATTTGTCATATATATATATATATATATATACACAAATAGTTGAACAATCATGTTTAATGTACAGTGTGTAGTATGTAAATATAAAAGTATTTCTTTTAGGTGCTATGATTTATGTTTTTTTTTCTTCGCCATTTTAAATCGGCTTTTTGCCCTTCACTTAAGTTGTCGTGCAGTATGACAAATTCATTTTTTTAAAGTACACATTTTCCATGCAGTCCGTTTATACGGACCCATAAAACTATGTTTTAGATGGGAGTAACTATCCGACCATGTAAACTAGCTGTGCATATGACATAAAAACCGCAATCTTCCCAATTTGCATCACACTCTTTTCACCTAATTTCCTTCATAAACGCCTCCTGTGAGCTAGGAAACTGATTGAGAAAGAATTCCAGCGTATCTGTTACGAACGGCAAATGAACTTGAATCTCAAATATTTCACCACTGGTTTATATCACCCCCCTCATTCATTTCATCACGGGAGGGGGGGGATCATATGAACGTTTAGGCTACACTCTGGCGCCTTCTAGTGAGCATTTCGAAGAAATCATTCTTTAATCGCCACATAACATCCAGGCATATGCATATAAATTTATTAACCACTAGATGGCGCTGTGACTTTGAAAATTACTGCTATCAAACAGACAGTCTTAAAAAAACTAAACAAAAAAAAAACAGCCAGTATTTTTGTGCAACTACAAAGTTAAAGTCAGTGAACGTTTGTTCTTGTCATAAATTGTGCCATCACCTGGAGTTTCCTCATTTCAGCTTAGGTACTTAAATTGGGTTGAAGAGGAATCCATTAACACTCACACAGTGTTGTTATACTCATGTCACGTTCAGTAACTAAATCTATTCCGCTAGACAATCCACCTTACAATATTAGATATGTTTAGGAACATGGTTACCGAACCATACATTGGATGTGCACTTGTGTACTTCATTAGTCGACTATACTTAAGTGCACTTTTTAAAAGTGTAATATTTTTTTAAAAGTTGTAATAATTATGAAATAAATGTTTTTTTTTCTTTTTCTTAAAAGGAGCCTTTTAAATCATTATGTTTTTATAATCTATTGTCATACTTTAAAGTACGTTTATTTTGATGTATTGTCTAACATACCAAAGCACATGTAAAGTAGGCTGATTATCATTTTAACTGTTATTTGATATTACACTTAAAGTTAATATATCACTAAATTGATGAACAACTTCATCATTACAAATTGAATTGTAATTACAAATATATTTACATACATGACATACACATTTCAGTAGAAATTACATTAACCCTTGTGCGGTCTTCGGGCACTTTTGACCGGAGAATTTTACATTTTGAATTTTTTTAAATCGTAGCTTCACCAGAATGGTATGAAACTTGGTGACTTTTATGGCACTTGGTATGTGAACACAAAAAAATTTGAGGTCATGATTCGAAAAAGCTAAGAGGTCGTAAAAAACATAGTCACACTCATGATCTTCGGTCGAAAATACAGAAAATGTTTGTGTGTACAATCTACAAATCCCCCACAATGCAGAAAACAATTGCACAGCAATGAAGGGGTGAAACTCTAAAACATCTACAGTGCAAAATCAACACACCAACTCACACATGCGCGAACACACACTTGTACACACACACACCTATGAACTGGTGTGACTGTCACACTGCAACTATGTAAAATAAAATCAATAATTCAACAATGCAGTAAAAAAGTGGACAGCAAGGAAGGGGTTACACTCTAAAACATCAAGAGTGTTAAACAGATGCATCCACTCACACACACTTACTTACACACACTCACAGACACACACATACAGAATTATACATACTCAAACGAATTGGTATGACCATAACCATATAGCCAAAATGAGTCAGAAGACTGAAATAAGAGGCTAAAATCAGATCAGACCCAGAAGGATTAAGCTCTAATAAAGCATTCCTGTTCATTTTTGTTACATTTTTATAGAATTGTAATGTTTTGTGTAACAAAATGCTTTCTGTGTTCAGGTTTGAATGTACAGTAGTAATAATAATGTAAAAACCTACACTTCAGATCAACATAAAAAAAATAAAAAAAATATATATATATATAAACCTTGACAAAAAGAAGTCTTTGAGAATGCCTTAATATACATTTAAGTCTTTCAGAATGCCTTATATACATTTAAATCCACAACCTAATAAAAGTAAACAATTATGTATAAAACAACTAGGGAATTCACAAGCCTCTCTATAGAGGCCTATACAGGCATCTAGTGGTTACAGTTACACAATGAAATTACAGGTTTTTCTCTTTTGTTGTTGTTGCTCTCACCAGGAGGTGCTAATCTGCCTTCAAAAAATAGAATTTAAAGGCCTAGTCTCTAGTTGAATCTGAAATACTGCATTAATTGATTTTTTTTTTTTATTAGAAAAAAAAAGTTTGTACTATTTCCAATGGGAAAATTTGATAATAATTATTGCATAAGTACCATAAAATTCTCTCAAAATACAAAATATTATTGAACAAAAATATATTAGATTGAGAAAAAAAGAGTTTTGACCACGAAGACCATGAGTGTGACTCCCAAATGATGAGCGCACAAGGGTAAAGTTTTTGTTTGAATACTATAGAATTACATATAGATGTACTTAAGGGTAGCTACATCGTTATTTGCCCAGTACAATTTAATACATGTTTAAAAGTCTTAAGAGGGGAGCAAGCTTGGCGTGAATTGAAACTGTATTTGATCACACAATAACGATATCTAATAGGACATCAATATCTCGTGCTACCTTGTCCCGTTCGTACATAAATTTTACTTTTACGTAACTTTAATGTCCTGTCCAAGTAGCCCAGAAGGGCGGAACAAAAATGAAGGCAGAGGGTAAAAGCACACAGGCTGTGTTTCAAAACGTAGCGAGCCGAGACAGCATTTTTAGCATCGAGGGCGTGCTCAGAACCCGACGTTCAGCTAAAAGAACTAAACCACTCTCAGAAACGCTGCCTAGAATTCTAGAACTCAATTCCAAACGCGCTAAAAAATGCTGTCTAGTTAGGCGACTCACTAAGTTTTGGAACACCGCCCCATTCTCATGCTTCCCAATTGGTCAGACTAAAGTCCCTGCTGCCACAAAACTGCACACACGTGACCCAGCTTGTCTGTACACACACACACACACACACACGCACAGTAAAACACAGCAGGCATTTAAAAGCCAACGCCATGGCTCTTTGACCAGCAAATTCACCCCACATCCAAACAATCACTATGAACCCTCTCCGTTGACAAACACGCACTATCCCACGCGTAATGGCGAGCGCGCTGCAGATGAAGCCCTCCAGTCTGGAGCACACACGGAAGCGCGTAATAGATCCACAACGGAGACAAGCTGCACGCTCATTCCTCAGCAACATCTCTCTGGACGGACGACCCGTGCAGGATGACGGGGGAAATCAGACCGAGGATGAGGATAGCTCTAGGACTAGACAGAGCCTGGTTTCTGCAGTGGGCCAGCAGGCATTGGCCGCAGCAGCGAGCCAGGCTCTCAGCAGTGCCCGAGCTGCTGGTTTCCTGGCAGGGATCACGGGTCCCAACGCGGCCGCCGCTGCTGCAGCTGCTGCAGCTGCTCCTCCTCCAGCGTGCGGAGCGGATGCGGAGGAGGATGTGTGCGGCTCTCAGGTGCTCCAGTCCGTGGTCAGCTCCCCCTTTTCAGCAGTGCCACCGGCTACGAGAGGGAGACTTCAGACGTACACTCAGGGAATCCTGCCTGTGTCCTACCCCAGGCAGTCCAGCCAGAACTACTGCTGTCTAGATGGAGGGCAGATAGCCAACTCTGCCCTGGAACTGCAGAGATCCAGGTAACCTTATGCACTGAGATGAGGCCAGGTCTTTAATTATAACAGTAATATAGTAAGGTGCTCCACGAATTATTAACATGCAAGCTGTTCATTTGTGTTATTGCATATGCAAATACACCAACAAATCTATTAAACTAAGCACACTTGTAGGATTACATTGGTGTTGACGGGTATTAAATCATTTTAATCAAGTGCTTTTAACCAACTAACATCAGGGTGATTTTTAGAGGATGTATGAAATCACTTCTCGAGTTAACTTGCATGTTAGCAGAGTAACCACAATAAACGAGTACTATCAATTTGGCTTGATATTTAGTACATTTAATAGAATTACGTTCATGTATTTTGTGGTGTAAGTGTCCAAATAGTTTTGGGGGGCCCGTGTCTGTTTTTGAATTACACACAGTTCTATTATAATGTAAAATAGCAATGCACCAGCTAAGTACTACATTTGCAATTACACTGTAAAATCTGATGTAAAGACACTTATGACAAATTTCAAACTTAATAAATCCAGACAGTACACAGAAATGCTGTACATCAAAATCTCTGTGTACAGTAATTGGTTCCACTTTATATTAGGTGTCTTTATGGACTTGTAGGTCAGTTGTTGGATTAATTGTGTGATACGGTATACTATTTGTGTTAATGTTGTATTGCAAAAGTGTCTCACAATAGTAGCTGTTGAGGTGGGATACAGGTGTATTCTGAGGAATACACATTATCGAAGCTGTGAAGTGAGGGATTACCTAGACTTTATTGAAATGGGAGATTAGCTGCCGTTGAACTAATGGCCCCATTAGACACATTAAACACGATCCCTGAAAAAACAAATCAATAAACGCCATTCAGACTTTTCTACAGTACATCATTCATTAATATCCTAAGTGACCTGCATTCTGAGAATACTGTCGATGACATAGTTTGCATGGGTGCATTTCTGAGTTCTCCTAATGTGTGTGTGTGCGCTAACCAAACATTTTATTAAGAATTTAAATATCTTTACATTTAATGTCAGAAAACTTTTTTATTTAATCACTAATGGTTTTGATTAAAGGGGTCCTATTATGCTTTTTCACTTTTTGAATTTTAGTCAGTGTGTAGTGTGTATGTTTGGGCATTAAAAAGATCTTCAAACGTATCCACTCCAAAGGGATATAATTCGTTTTTTAAAAAATCCCTTTACAAGAACTACAACGAACGGCTCGTTTGGACTACAGCGTTTGTTTTCCGGGTTTTGTGATATCACAAAGCGGCCCATTAGAATATCATTAAAGGGGTGGTTCACTGGGTTTTTTCTAGGCTTGATTGTGTTTATGGGATGCAGTCTAACATGTGTGAATGCTTCGTTTAAAAAAAAAAACAAAAAAAACATTATTTTTCACATAATTTACCTTTATTGCACACAGCTCTGTCCCTTCTCTGAGAAATGGACTGATCTTTTCCTGTTTTTATGAAGCCCCGCCCTCAGAAATAGGCGATGGGCTCTGATTGGTTAGCTAGCCCAGTGTGTTGTGATTGGCTAAACTGCCTCTAGTGC